GAGCCGAAGGCAGACGCTTAACGACTGAGCCACCCAGGCGCCCCTATAAGTTCTATTTTTAATTGAACTTACTTTCGAAGTTACAAAATAATGTGGTTTTTTTTTTTTTTACAAAATAATGTGTTTTTTTTTAAAAAAAAATAGATTTAAGAAAAAAGAAGTAAAGGGGTAAACCTCAGAACCATTATCATTATCAGATGGATAGTCTTCCAGGTCTTTTTTAATGCATATACAGACATGAATATACCAGTATTATAAAAATCATTTTTTGCCCAACTAGGATTAAATTCTTTGTTGGATAAACAGCATTGGTGTATTCCATTCCTATAGGAGCTGGAAGAAGAGATCTTTTAAAAACAAAACACATTTCAGGCCCAAGAAAAGCATAAAGCAGAAACATCATTTTAAATGAGAGTTAAAATACTCTTTTCTCGATTTGGAGCAGGAAATAGAGGAATCTGATAAGGAGCATCGTCTTATAGCCCTGCAGCTCCTCTTAACACCCTCACATAGAGTAAGCTTTCAGTTAGTACTTCTTGAATGAATGAGAAATTGTCCCTTTTTATGGTGGTTTTATTTTGGGTTAAATAGTGTCAATACCAAGAATAATAGAAACAGATGTGTTCACATGTAAACGTTGTAAAGAGTGCTCCAAAGAAAATGACAAATCTTATCATCATCCATTTTGGATTATTCAAGCCAGAATTCCCTTCCATTTTTACTGCAAGTGACATATAAAATTAGTCCCATTCCTTTTTACCACTTTTGAGCCTTTGAGACAGCCCCATCGCTCATCACCTGACTTTTCACGCATGTTGTGTGCACACACGCATGCTTTGTTCTCAGATGAATTGTGGGCTCTGCAAGGGTGGGGAGGTTTCTGTTGGTTTCTTTTGTATTCTCCCCAGCGCTTGGTACATGTTCTGCACACAGTGGATGTTAAATGTGTGTTGACTTCAGTGAATATTGTGACTATTAGTTCGCGAGGGCTGCCATGACGAAGTACCACACACTCTGAGTGGCTTACGCCACAGAAATTTGTTGTCTCACAGTGCTGGAGGCTAGATAGATCTAAAGTTGAGGTGTTGGTGGGGTGCTTCAGTTCTGAGGGCCCTGAGGGAAGCATCTGTTCTGGGCCTCTCTCCTTGGCTTGTCTTCTCCTTGGGACCTTTTGAGTCATTTCTCTTAGATGTGTCTGTCTCTGTGTCCAAATTTTCCCCTTTTTCATGAGGACACCAGTCATATTGGTTTAAGGCACACGCCCATGACCTCATCTTAACTAATTATAACTGCAATGACCTATTTCCATATAAGGTCAGATTCTGAGGTACCTTGATGTATCAATTTTAGGGGGACACAATCCAACCCATAATAGTGACCTCCCACAGAATCATGAAAATTCAGAGTGTTCACTCTGCCTACCTGATGCTTGAACTCTCTTTGCCCAAGCCAAGAAGAACATGTAGAATTTTAATAATATTTTGTCAATAGGATTTTAGGGTTGTTTTTTGGTTTTTAATGTGTCTGTGTATGCTTTCCAGAATGGTTCCCACTGCCTAAGCCTCAAAGCCTTCAGAATGTCTGGAACAGGTAAGCACCACCTTGGAAAGCTTCTCTTAAAAGCAGGGCCTTAGTCCCCTGGACCTCAGTCCACTGAACACGCAGCCCCTGAGCACCTGGATCTCTGGGGGCCATGGGGCCCAGGAAGATGCCTCCGGGAGAGCCAGCCACCTGTGAGTGTGTCAGTTTTTCTGTATGAACCATTTTACTTTCAGTGAGTTTGGTCATTAAAATGGTTTTGTACCCCTCAACCATGCCTGAGGCCCTGAGAATGAGGGAGTGTTGGCCTGCAAGAAAACCTAGTGGGTTTATTATTCTTCAACACAGAGAAACCAAATAACATCATTGAGTGGCTATTGGAGGGGGGGGCAGCTTGATTCATGGAGGTCATGCTTTCCCAGGCCCTCTCCACGCAGCCTCGGCTCAGACCAGGGCAGACTTTTATTACCAGCTTTCAACAAATCCCTAGTTTCTTTTACAAAGTAAAACAGATAATAGAGACATTCCCGGAATAGTTAGCTAACTAAGCCGTGCCAGGCAACCTCAGGGCTAAGAAGAACTCAGTGTTTTCGGACAATGACCAATTACAATAACCAGTATTATTTGATCTGAGAGTAATTAGCCGAGGCTCTGTTCTTTTTGCTTCAGTGAGGAGGCAAAAAGGGCAGTGAGGAAAACGTCAGAGACAGGGGAAACAGCTCAAATGTCAAAGAAAAACACACCCTTGCAGGTGGGGAGAGGGGAAGAGATCCTAACTGAACGTTTGAATGTTGTTCTTCCCTGAAAATGTGGTAGGGTTTAACCCAACCGAATTTTGTTTGATTTTTTCATGCTTACTGTTCACGTGCTTTAAAAAAAAGCCTCCACGTAGAGTGAATATCAGAGCACAGAGAGGTGCGGGCTACCAAGGACCTCTTATTGGGAGGGACAGGTCTCCTCAGGAGGGCTATGCTCTCTGCTCTTAACTGCAGGCTCACTGTGTTGCCTGAAACCACCCCCCATGTTTTGGAGACAGGTTCCCCGGAACCGCTGTTTCCCCTTTCATGCAAGATGTACAAACTTTCTCTGGCCAGCCCAGTGAGGCTCCCTAGCCCCAGCTAGAGATATCTGGATTTTAGCACTGCTCTCAGGCTTTCTTCCATTTCACTATTGGCTCCTAAAATAAACGGTAACTGCAAACCTGCAAACCACCTCAATACCCTATGCAGCTGCCATTGGAACTGTTGCATGGGCCAAAGAAAGTGCCAGAGCCTCCTGCTATCACCGCACCAGCCCTTCCTCCTGGGCTGAGCAGGACTTGGATGCCCTGAGTATCCCTCTGGCTTCTCTGGCCACACACAAGAGCCGCGACCTCCGCCCACTGCCTTGTCCCAGCTACCCCTGTGCCTTAGCTCAGACTTCTGGCTTCTCTTTGCTCACACCTTCGAATCGAGGATGATGTCTACAGACGTGCTGCCTGATACAGTAGCCCCTAGCCACACGGGGCTATTTAAAGTAATTAAAATTAAATTTTAAATTTAGTTGCTCAGTTGCACGAGGCACCTTTCAAGGGCCCGATAGCCACAGGCAAGTAATGGCTAACACGTCGGAGGGGACAGAACTAGAATATTCTCATCATCATGGAAAGTTCTGTTGGACAGCACTGGTCTAGATGATCCCATGAGAAAATTCTTGGCTCCGAGAAGGACTTTGTCGCTGAACTAACGCTTGGTGCAATGTTTGCAATGTATTATTTCATTTATTCCTCATAAACCAAAGTCCTAGTTCCAAGAGGTGGAAACTAAAGTTCTAAGAAGTGAAGTAACTTGGCCACAGTCACCAAGCTAAGTAAGGTGGAGCCCAGATCCATCTGGTACACAGGTCTCTGTGACTTTGTCAACTGAGTCGGGTTGCAAAAAGTGATGGATAAAGAGGAGCTGAGGTATCGCTGGCTTTTCCACAAGATTTCTGCAAGGTACAGAAGAACCGTGCGTGGGCCATAAATACACCTCAGGGCAATGCCTGGGGTTTGATGGTGACCCGATTGACATGGGCTAGTAAGTGCACATTCACTTGTCAGATTGATTGGAAGATAATGGACAGCTTCTTTGATGCTGTTTCTTCCTAGCGTTGGATATATTTCTTATTGTGGGTGCCTGCTTTACCACGTCTTAAACTGGCAGCATTAAAAAAATACCCACTCTCCTGGAACAACAACAAAAAGATCATTATTGAAAAAAAAAAAAACAAAACAGTGATATTTGAATAATGCCTGCAGCTTAGTTCACAATGTTGTGCCAATATTAATTGCTCAGCTTTGATCATTTGACTATGGTTATGTAGAATGCTAACATTAGGGGAAAATGGTAAACATATAACTCTGGGGACAATTCCTGCAATTCTTCCGCAAACCTAAGATTACTTCAAAATAAAAACAAATTTAAAAATTGGGGAAAAAACTAGTGCCCACTCTATCCCTGCCCTTTTTCCTCTTTCTATGGATCTAGGGGAAAACAACAAAGAACCCAGGTGAACTGATGATGACCAGCCTTGCGCTGCAAACAGATAACTCCCTTCCACTGGAAAGGTAAATGGCAGTGGAGAATTTTATACTCAGAGCCAGCCTATGCCGGGAAATCAAGGTTACTGCCTCAAGCCCCGGAGAACCCACCAGATTTTAGATGTGTCGAGTGATGGCCAGTGGATGGAGCTTCACACAACCACAGCGCCTGATTTTCATTTTTTCTTATTGTTTGTGTTTCTATTCTGGACTTCTAAAATTAAATGTGGATGTCCTCACACCCAGCACTTCCTGTAGGATTGATTTACAATTTTAATTCTTTTTGCAACTTTTATGAGCCACGAGGTCTGTGGCAAGTCAGGGCTACTGGAATAAATTTGTTTTCCATGACACAGAGACAGGAACTCTCCCAGACTGCTGGTGGAAGTGGAAATTGGTACAACTGGCTAGTATTCTTAATCAAAAACTTGAACATGGTGTATGTCCCTCAACCCGGGGATTTCTATTCTCAGGATTTATACTAAGGAAATCATTGTGCAGGTGCAGAAAATAGATTTCTCACTGAGGATGTCACAGCATGATTTTAATGGTAGCCTCTCGCAACCCCCAACAAAAAGGAAACAACTCTGATAAAGTTCTGGCTATGAAAATTATGGTATGCCCACATAACAGAATGCTATGCAGCTATTAAGATTATATCCTAGAAGACTGTTCAAAGTCCTGGAAAGATGATCAAGATAGTCAAGTGGAAAAAGTATGTTATAACAACATGTAGAGTATGATCTCCCTTTTTTTGGTAAAACAAAAAATATATCCACTTAAAAATAAAGGACTAAAGAAGAAAAACTGAACATCAAAGCAATAGTGATCATCTTTGAGTGAAGGGGCTTATCTCAGAGTGATTGGATAGTTTTCATTTTCTTTCTCTGCAATTTGTAAGTGTTCTACAATAAATATGTATTGTGTCGGCAATGGAACACTTTTTGCTTCTAGAAATGTTACTAGAAGGAGGGATTCATAAGAAGATTTTTTGGTCTTTATTAACAGACTCTCATTAATTGGGTGGATGGGTTCTCCTAATTCTGCAAGATGCTCCTGGTGTGTTTACTTTTTAACATCACAATCCTAACACATAATATTTTTTTGTCTTTTTTTTTCAAATTTTTATTTAAATTCTGGTTAGTTAACAGATAGTGTAATATTGTTTTCAGGAGTAGAATTCAGTGGTTCATCACTTACATACAACACCCAGTGCTCATCATAACAAGTGCCCTCCTTAATCCACATCACCCAGTTACCCCATTCCCCATCCACTTCCCTCCATCAATCCTCAGTTTGTTCTCTACCATTAAGAGTCTCTTATGGTTTGTTTCCCTCTAACATATAATATTTATTAACATCTAGCCTATGTGGAAAGGTGCTGGTGGCAAATTAACTTTTGTTAATGTCACTTTTCATGCCAACTTTCATTTCCAAAGTAGTGGTTATAACCAGTGAAGAACTGTCCTAGCAAGAGTTAGAGGAGGTGGCAAATTATAGAAATGTGACGATAAAGGCAGTGGACAGTAAGCAAGATTATAGATGGCAGAGAGAAGCAGAACAATACAAACATGGAAGTAAATTAGCATCTGTGCCCAAAGAAGCAACGTTTGTATTCCTGGGGCTCTTATCTCAACTCCCAAATGAGAGTGCAATATGCCAATCACAAGGTAGAGATCATCAGGGCTCTTGGCCAGATTGGGTGGTCCCACTCTAACTGCTGCTAGTAAAGGCTCATATTCAGGAGGGCACAGACTTGGTTTATACAGGGAAGACCAACATGCACTTGGCCCATGGGAGGAAGGAGCAGGAGAAACGGGTGGTAGCAGTCATAGCCTAGAGGCCATGAGACTGGAACAGAATGCTGGCACCATTAAAAACCTTGATATAACCTGGAGGGAAGAGTTGGTTTAGTTGAAAAGGAAAGTCCTAAAAAAGAAGTCTTCATATTGCTGATCAGTGCCTACTCTCCTTTCTTTCATTTGCCTGGTGGGAGTGGCCAGTTCTTCTTAGATGAGTCCCTACTACCCCCGTGAGAAGTTCCATCAGCCCTCCCTGGCTTTCCCAGCCACCCGACATAACCATAGGCTAAATACAAAGAGTATGTGTGCCATGCTAACACAGATTCAAAATAGGTCCCCTGGTCTTCCTTGTCCAATGAGATTGCAGCTCCTAAGCCCTGTCTACAGAGCAATTCTGTAATGATTCCATTATTGTGGGCCAATGGGTAGGAGTGTGTGGAGAGAACCAACCATTGATTGGGGTGGGATTGTGGAGGTGAAAGCTGATAGATGCATTGCCCCCCACCACCACCATCAGCGCCTACCCACCCACCCACCCCCTGCAGTTTCATAGAGTGGGTTCACCCCACCCCTTATAGCAAGGGTGGACTAGATAAAATTTTTTTCACAAGATTTTCCATGAATGTCCCTCCAGATTGATATTAGGTCCTAGTGATCTATACCACCTTCCCCACTCCAAACCCCCCTTTCATTGGCCCCAAAAACCTGTGCCTGGGCAGGGCACCCTGGATGGAGAAAATACCTTCCGGCCTTTTCTCAGGCCGCAAGCTAATGAGTAGGCCTCCACCCCATGTTCCCTTTTAACTAGCTGGAAATTGGCAAGAACTGGGGATTTGCAAATTTTCCTCTATCTTAAGTCTATGAAGCAATGACCACTAAGTTTGAGGGTAAAGTTATCTGTTTGTAGAAACAGTTTTATATCATGGGAATCAGATACCTGAAAGTTTCTTAGGTAAATCTTATGCAAAATTTAGGCCACTTACATCTCTGGGCCAGGATTTCCAGCATCACTGCATCATGGCACCCGGGAAGGGGAAGGGTATCAGTTCTTTGTCGATTTAGGTTGGTATGTATATTCAACATTAAATAAGCCCATTTATTTTTGCTTAATTGGGGATTTGCGTGGCCGTGCAACCTAATTCTGAATGTCAGACATCAGTCCTGTGGTTAATTGCCTCCTGCACAGTTTTGTGTCTCATGGCTTTCCACTTGTAAACCCGACTATGGGCTCTAGAGATAGATGTATTTAAATGTTTGGCACTAGATTAGCAAAGACTTTCAAACGTTGTAAGTAAATAGGAAAATGAAGACTCGCAAGTCCTGCAGGATCAGCCCCTGCCACCCTTCCAGCTTCATATCTGTCCCCTCTCCCCCTTGGTCCCAGGCCAGCCACCTGGCCTTTCCTCTTCTCCTTAAACTCGCTCTTCTCCCCTCATCCCCGGGGTCTGTATGGTGTACTACCTGCCTCTCCCCCACCCTCAGCACTCAGCTCAAATGCTTCTTCCTCAGGGAAGCCTTCCCTGACCAGCTCTTCCCACTCTGAGTCAGATATCTGGGACTTTTCTGCACACGTACTTATGAGTCTCTATGATAATTTGGTTAGTGTCCGACTCCTCCCCTAGACTAAGCTGCCAGAAGGCAGCGTCTTCCCTGTGTCTTCCCGAGCCAACCACCTACCAGCACATGGTCATTGTTCAACTAATAGATTTGCTCATCTCCAAATTTACAGTTCAACACAGGTCAACTTGAGGATTTGTCCTTACTGTAACCTGGGCACTTAGCTATCTCTCTTTCTACGCTCCATTTCAGGGGGGACCAAGAGAGCTTCTTAGGTAATGCCCTGGGGGCTGAGCTGCAGAAACACTGTAAATAAGGGTGTTTTCCACCCAAGCTTCACCCTCCAAAATTACCTCTTTCCCTCCCTCTCCTCCAGGATGCTACGCTTGCAGCCCTGGGACCCTATATCCAGTTGGGCTTTTCTGCTTGGTGGGCACTGTCCCTCAAGGCAGTATCCTTAGTTACACATTTCTGCTTCTGTAATTATATTTCTGGGTCCTTTATGTATGTATACATGGTACCCAGAGCCCATGGGGAGGTGGAGGCTGAAGGAGAGCATACTGAGGATAGCTAAGAGTTCCAGTGGGTTGGGGGGCGCGGTATTTTTCCACTTGCCATCAACTTTGCTCATCCCAGGAAAATCCTACTTGAAGCTCTTCTAGCCATCTCCTTCTCTCTACTTTTCTTCTTCTGCCCTTTATTTTTCAGAAGGGAGGCCTTTGGAGAAACTATTTTTCTCTTCCATTTTTCCAGGTTGGGCAGGGTTCCTGAAGCTGAAGACCTGGCCTCCCAAATGCTGAGAGGCTTTCCTAGAGACCGCGTCTCTGCCCAGGAGGCCCTGGTTCATGACTATTTCAGTGCCTTGCCATCTCAGCTGCACCAGCTCCCCGATGGTGAGTGAGGGACCTGTGTGTGTGTGTGTGTGTGTGTGTGTGTGTGTGTGTACATGCACACATGTAAGTCTCAGGGGCTAAGTGTTTTCTCCGAGCACTGGGGAATCATAGTATTTGCAACCAGAAATGAGCTTAGGAATCGATTTACCTGGGAGAAGCATGAGGGGACCCAATCTTGCCTGAGTTTTCTATGAGAGTCCCTAAAACTCAGAAACACTGGTGGGTTGAGGTGACACAGACCTCCTTGTAACAATCCAAACATTTCACGTAGACACTCTTAGAAACTGGATGAGATGAAAGTTGCCTCTGAGTTGTTTGTTTTCCCTAGCATCTGTCAGGAGAAGCAAAACCAAAGTTTGCAACAACCCCCTTCTCTCTCTAGAGAGAGTAAGATGATAGGTAACATGGAGATGTCACAAGAGGAGGGCGGGCCTGTCTTGATTGGTAATTTGATGCTGCTGAGGGAAGTGCCCGGTGGGGCGCTGGGGGGAGGGGCACGTCCTCCCAGGCCCAACGCCCACGGGGAAACACAAGTTACCCTGAAATCAGCCTTGCGGCCTGGGCCTGAAGTCATCCTCCAAATCTGAAATCTGCTGAGGGATCATGTGGCTGGAGCTCTCCTCATGTTTCTCAGAATGTGGCCAGGAAGGGCTAGGCAGAGGATGTGGGCAGTGTGGTCATGGCTTGGCTGTTTGAGGGGGACCATCCTTAGGTGGGGTGTCTTTGAAAAAAGTCACCATGCAACTGAAAACAAGTTTTAGAAGCCCTATGCAGGAGAAAAGAAAGCTAATAAGGAAGGTGTAGGGGCTCGGACTGGGAAGAGGGCCCTGGGATGGCATGTGGGGTGACAATGAGGATAGAGTGGGGAGCTGCTGCCTAAGAGGCCTAGACATACAGTCTGGCCAAAGCCTCCAGGGTCTGCAAATGTGACTCCACTGTATCTAGGACATTGTCCTGCCACAGCCCAAAGCTCTGAGTTTGGGACTTCTTGAGGCATTTTATTATTAAAATGAGTTATTTAGGATCTCCAAAAATAACCATGATCATACAACTGGGGTTAATGTCTTACTTAACCCTGTAGGAAGAGTTAGTCATCAGGATTTATTAAGTTGCCATTAAGTGTCAAGAACATATTAAGTGCTATAAAAATTGAGGGAAAAAAGAGGCTTGTCCTTGACCTCAAGGATCCTATGGCGTGGGAGGAAAAGGGGGTGAGGAAGAGGAAACAGGGCACCCTTGTACACATATTAGCACAAATCATATCTAAACAGCTAAAGTCTGTGCATAATCAGCTACAGATGTTGAGAGAATATGTGTGTGCTAAGGGCAGTTCTTTGGAGGAACTAGAATAATGCAACTGAGAGAGTTTGGACTGGAGGTGAATCCGGGTTGGAATTTGGAAGGAGCCGAGGAGCACTATTTGGCACATGGGTGGAACAAAAGATATCCTAGGCAACCTACAATTCTTACTCCCTTTCCAGTACCTCAACTCCCACTGTACCCCCGTGCTCTCCCCTACTCCCACCCCAATATACTGTTCCCAGTCTAAGCCCCTAGGTCCCTCTTCAGCTTTCTTCTCTTGGGCCTAGGACTTCTAACCACCACTCCAGGCAAACATACGCATTCAGGAGGCACGCACACATGCATACTCACACTCACACACTTACACACTCACCCTCCCTTCTCTCCACTTAACGAGACCTCCCTCACTGGCCCTCCTCCAGGATCTATTATTCCACATACTGAGAACCACTGGGGACCTTGAAAATGTCCTGGACATAAGCTTTGACCTGATAAAAAGGAATTAGCAAGAAACAGCCACTGTCCAAACTAATGTGTTGTTAGAGACTTGGGTTTTGATTCTTCCTGGCCATCTGAAGCAGAGCCACCAACTGAGGGGCTGTGTGTGTGTGTGTGTGTGTGTGCGCGCTCACGCACGAGCACACACGCCCATGTGTGGGTGTAAGAGAGAGACCCATCTGTATTCCTTCTCTGTTCACCCAGCCACAGAGCCCAAATCTACTTTGACACTTTTAGAAAAATGAAAAGATGGAATCTTGCAGGAGCCTGCCTGCGCTGGGGGGGAGCCGAGGAGTGCTCACAGCAGGAGGGAAGTTGACTTTTCTTTATACATATAGGGGTTTTTCCATGCAGAGTTTAAATTATGCCTGATAAAAGGAGTTTCGTGGATGTTTCAGTTCTTTCAAATTCTCCTGGCTTCCTCCCAATTAAATGAGGTTTGTCAAAGCCACGGGGCTCTGCTGCTGCTGCCGCGGCCGACAAGCACTTCCTGCAGCGACATCTCGAATCCCCGAGGGAGAAGATGAAAGGGCCAGCGCCAAGAGACAGGGAAGGGGGTGGCAGGACTGGGTGTGTGTGTGCATGTGGGAGGGGGTGCAGAAATAGGCTTAGAGACCGACCGACAGAGAGGACGTGGGACAAGTAGACAGGGAAAGCAAAGCTACCAGGAAAACAGGAGAGAAAGAGGAAGCGAGAGAGCAGCTGGGGCCAGTTGCTTGCGTACCTTGACAACAGTGGCCCTTACCAAGGACACATCTACGGAGGGACGCACGCCCTTGGCCTGGCAGTGCCAGCCTACTTTTTCATTGCCCGGGGCAATTAGCCTTTATTAAGAGCCTCCTTTGCAGACAGAGAGCACCAGACGGTTATCACCGTTCCCAACCTGCAGGAACACAGAATCTCCGTCTCCATGGTGGGCTGCCCCAAGCATAAGAATTGTGCAAAAATAAGACATGCTCTTGTGAGTGGTTTGTAAAGAGAGTTTCCCTGCCATAATTATGCAGGAAATTTTGCTCTCTGGTGGCATTTCAGTGTGGAAGCATTTAGGAGCTTATATTTATATCATTTTATTCTTCTGGCTTTATTCTCGTTGCAAGGATAACAGAGTTGTCACTTTAAAATATATTCTGTTTCCCCTTTGATCTGGGAGATGCCAGCTCTTATTGTCTGCCCTCTAAAGAAGACAATCTGAGCATGAAACCTGTGGCTGGGAAATATGTGAAGAGTGGAGGCATGGCCTAAATCCCAAGAAATTCCCCGCAACGTGCAAGAATCCGTCCCATCTACCCATGTCTATTTCGCCAAAGCTGAGACTTTCCCTGGGTTGTGGCAATAAGCTCATGGCCGGAGGAAAGCAGGTGGTTACTCGCCATGCAGATTCGGGGTTTCCAAGATTAGTTCCCTTTTGGAGCATACTCTTACGCGGAGAAGCATGACTATTAGAACGGCAAGCATGTGGGAACTTCTGCCAAGCGCTGACATGGTCCCTTATTGACTCTTGAACACCTGAAGAAACATTTGTTGATGGAGAAATTATTGGTAGTCTCTCTCAAAACACACCCAACAGCAAGCTAATTGCTTCTGCAGATGGCCAGGGGGATGCTCTCCCCTCTCGGTCACCGGCTCGCAGCCACACTTGTGGTCCTCGTGTCTGAGCCAGCAGCGCAGAATGTCAGCTGGGGCGGCGAGGACCTAAAATTAGGTCCTTGGCAACTCTCTAATCTTAGCTGCAGGTTCAGCTTCTTCGTTTAATTCCCTTTGCCCTCAGCATGAACTTGGGCTCTGGGAAAGGAACACTGCTTAATGATTTGGGGGTGGGGGAAGTGGAAAATCATTAAGCTGCCCTTTCTAGAAACTGGCTCCACTCTGTTCTTGCAGGGAGACTTCCAAATGTTACCCTTGGAAAGTTAAGACTGATTTTGGAAGCTAGCCATTTTGAACCATAGACACTGATCCACAAAAGTTTTTTTTTTTAATCTGGGGCAGTAAATGCCACGTGATTTAAGAGTCTGGTCCTTAAGCCCTGGTCCTTGATCATCAGGACATCAAAGGCTGTCTCTCTCTGTGGGTTGGTCCCATTTTACTTTCCAAATCCCAGACTTGAGTCTCTCCCATTCCTTCCTGGACTAAATCCCCCTTCTCCTTTAAAACAGGTTTCAGCATCTTAGAAAAAAAAAAATCCTAAAACTTGAAAGCTTACAATTGTTTCACAAGTAATTTTGCAAAAACAACTTACCAGAGTCTTTCTCATCATTAAATGCTTTCTTACTGCAGGCATAGAGGCACGGCGTTGACCTCTCCCATACGTCACAGCACCCTAGTGTCTATACTCTGGAAGTTCTTCAGCAGGCCTTATCCATATTGCCTCATTAACATCTGAGTAATTTTTTTGTTTTGCTCCAATAAAAGAATTTCAGACCTTCTTTTAATTATCTCTTTAATATATTTGAAGATCCCTTGATGTCACTTTCTAAAGCTCACTTCTCTAGGCTGAATTCCTTTGACCTCTCTTCCCCCCAATATAGATTCTGTTTCTCTCGCTCTTTAATCATTTTTGTTTCATTATTCTATTCTGAGCCCGTTCCAATTATTTTGCTTATCTCTGAGACTCTGGAGCCACATAGACTCAGATTTCTAACATAGTGGGGAATTCTGTTCCAGTTCATTCATTAAAGATTTACTGAGGGTCATTAGTACGATACTGAGTGATACAAAAATGAATTAGTCAGAGAGTCTGTCCTCAAAGAGCTTCTAGTCCTTAAGGAAAGGAGACAAGTATATAAACAGCCACAGTTCAGGTGTGAAGTGCTCTGGGCATTCAAAGGAGGTAAGATTAAATCCAGCTCTGGGGATACAGGACAGCTTTGTGAGTGGGCCTTCAAAGATTATGGGGTCTGGATGGTTGGGGAGGAAGGACATCCAGGGAGAGGAATGTCATCCTCCTCTTAATACCATCTAACATCATAGTGAAGTTGTCCTCTTTTTAATAATAGTGGCACAATCCTGACTCATATCATGGTTTTTACTCCTTATTGTATGGCTTCTTGCAATAATTTAAACATTTTTTTAAGTAAACTCTACCCCTAATGTGGGGCTCAAACTCACAACCTGAGATCAAGAGTCGCATGCTCCACAGACTAAGCCAGCCACGTGCCCCAATTTAAACATTCCTTACCATATCCTAGTGAAATTTAATTTCA